ATTCGCAACAATGTAATGTAGGTTGTATCATCCTCGTTGATTTAAAAGTTTGTATTATTGTGGCGATTGATTAATTTCTTTTGATGACAATGATTATTTACCACAATGCTTCAGTGCAAGTATTGCTCCTTTGGATGAGAGAGATATGGACGGGACCCTCATATTCTGGAGGCTAATGTGTCTTTGGGTTTGGTTAGAAGTTGGTCATATATATTCATGGCCCATCTTCAGTCTAATGGGATCTCAATTTGCTCCGTAATTCTGTCTTACACACGCGTAAACATGTTTATCTCTCAAAATTCTCTCGTCCTTACTATTGTCCGGTCATGATTAGACATGGTGCACGGATCAAACTAATATAATCAAAGTTGTTAAGCCACATGGTCGGGTGGGTCGGGTCAAGTCTGTCATCAAGGCTCGTAAATTCTTACTCTAGTCTGTTCGAGTAAGAAATTCGGAAAAACTACCAAAAAGTCATAAATCTATTAATTAGATCAATTTAATTCTTAATATTTTCACATACAAATTGAGTCCGTCCTCTCAATTTAGGCTGGAAATTGCTGATGTGAATGATGGAAATCCTACGTGGCACAATTGACGCTAATGTGAATATTTTTTCATGATTTTTTTTATAGTTCTTTTGAATTTTTTTCTTTTTTTTTCTTTCATGGCCAGTGCCAGTGGCCGGCGAGGGATTTGATAAACGCCGTCCCAACGTAAAACTCGACCAGGACTTGGTCGGACCCGGCACTGACTCAGGCCGACTCAGCCTTATGTGTCCAAGCTTGAGCCATTTCCAGAGGTGGGCTCACACTACCCGTGACTTCCTCTGTTCTTTTAGCTTCATCGACTTTTGACTCCAGAGTCGTCGCCGTCGAGGCATTCTCTTCATCGCGTTTCAGAATCCCGACTTGACCCATGATGAGGTTCTTCGCCGGCAGTGCAAGAGGCAACGAGGTCGCCAGCGACTTGGTGGGGCTTTTCTTCCTACAGTTTTGATGGGCGCGGTTAGAGTTGAATTTGGTCTTGGTCGGTGGCTTCGCAGGAGGTTGTGATAGGCTATGCTTTCTGGGAAAAAGAGGGTCGTGTATGAGGTGGTTCTGGGGATGTAAAATTGGTCGTGTACCAATTTGTTCTTGAGAGAGAGGAGAGAGGAATGAACTCGGTGGCCAGAACAACCCTCACTCAGGCGAGGCTAGCCCTCGCCAGCCACCAGTACAAGCCATGAAAGAAAAAGAAAGATAAAAAAAAGAACAAATTCGAAAAAATTATTAAAAAAAAAAATGTTTACGTCAGTGTCGACCGTGCCATATAGGACAGTCGGCATCCACATCAATAATTTCTGGCCTAAATTGGCCGGATGGACTTAATTGATACAAATCTGAAAAGATTTAGGTCCAATTGAATGGTTTATTAAATTGGTACCAATGTAATAGGTTTAGGACTTTTTAAGTACTTTTCCCAAGAAAATCTACAATGTGATAGGAGTATTAGCGATGAAATCATTTTCGTATGTTTATCGTGCGAAGTTAAACCCGATGAGAAGTTAACTCGCAAATAAGTTGCTATGTGTTAGTGTCACGGGTCGATAGTTTGATAGCGACCCGTGCGGCGACTTAGGCTTCCTTGGATCGTTGGAGCGCCAAAGCCAAGTCTCGATCGCTCCGGATCATAGAGAGAGAATCAAGCTCTGGGAGAGAATAAAAATTGCTTCTATTGTTCGAATGCTTCAAATGAGGGGGAGAACACCCTACTTATACAAGGACTCGACAGATTACATCCTTGATCGACTCTTGAATAGGTGACCGAGATCGCATTTTCCCATCCACCAATTACCGGCATTTATACCAAGAACTCTCTAGAATGCGGCATAATTACCATATCGCCTGTCTCTGGGAATGTTCCCGAAGCTCCATTAGGATTTGGACAAGCATTCTTTGATTGTGCACGGTCCGTGGCGCATGAAAACCTCGAGACCGTGACATTAGCATGATGATGAAGATTGAAGACGACCATAACGCGAGCATTCATCTTCCGAGAGCTTAAATTGTCACTCAAACCATCAAATCATAACAAAATTTGAGCAAAATCAAATGAATTAGAAACGATGTGGTCCTCGTTCGTAATGTGCATGGGAAAGTTATCCAATCGATTCTAAATTTATTGTACATATGTCAATTCATTCTTGAACTTTCTAATTAAGACAATTTAGTCCGAAACTTTTACATGAAATTTCAATGTAGTCATTCCGACTAATTTTTGTGGAAATAATTGATGTGGCGGTTCAATCATCGCTGATTGTCCAATGTGGCACACGGCCACGTCAGCGATTTCCCGTAAGAATTGACCGGAACTATTATATTAGAATTTCGCACTAAGGTTTATGACTCAATTAGCAAAATTGAAAAGTTTAGAACTAAATCGGTATATGTACATAATTTAAGATCGATTGGACAATTTCTTCTAATATGCACAATCAAAATTTCCACAAATCAATGAGCTCAAATCACATATCTCTCTTTATCTCTAATTAATAATTTTAATAGTGATGGTAATTTTGATTTCGTGTTAGTAAATTTTATTATGTCATTAGTAGATTTCGAAATATGTTCATAAATGATGGATTTGTAGAAATGTCCCTGTACAACACTACCCTCTAATTAATGAAGCTTTGACCCAGCCTCTTTCACGTTCAATGTTATGCACGACAAGATCGTTAGGCCATACTTTTATTGATGATTAATCACCACAAAGTGAATTAATTAATGACAAACAAAAGAGAATTAAATTCTTAAACTATGGCATGTGCTGTTTGCTCTTAGAGGCCGTGATCCAGCCATCACTGTGGTGGTCATTAAAAGCTTTCAAAACAACATACTACTAATCAGTCTTCTTTGGCGGTCTAGATGAAATATTTTTTTCTAAGTTCTTTTAATGTTTAGCACTTAAGATTTGATTATACGTTTGATAGTATATCCTGAATATTTAGAAGGGTATCATTAACCGGTGCTCCTGGGACATTTGGTAGCCATTCCTAATGATAAAAAGAGTTACATTTTCAATTCATTAATCGTGTATAATATGAGAAAACAGTACTTTGAAATTGACAAATTTTTTGGATATTCTAAAGCCATTTGCATCCAATGTTGTCAAATCTTTTCACAAGTTTCTAAAAGCCAGAATAATTTTTGTTTTAAAATTTTGATGGAGAAGTCACTATAAAACTTTCTTATATATAAAAATAAGGGAAAATAACATAAATAGTCTCTGAACTTTGGTTCAATGTGCAATTCGATCCTTGAACTTTTAATTCATTCAATGTGATCCTTGAACTTTAGCCAAATGTGCAATGTAAATTTTTAATTTGTTCGATGTGGTCCTTGAATTTTTGGTACATGTTCAACTTAATCTCTGAATTATATAAAAATGTTCTATGTTGGCCTTCCATTAATTCAAGTTTAGGAACAACATTGAACATGTTCACATAGTTCAGGGACTAATTTGAACATGTGCCAAAAGTCCAAGAACCACAATGAATAAATGAAAAGTTCATGGATCACATTGCACATTGCGCTAAAGTTCATGGACCACACTAAACAAATTAAAGTTCGAGAATCACATTGTATATTGGGCCAAAATTCAGAAACCATTTGTATTTATATCCCCAAAAACAAAGATGAAAACCGACATGCCCCACGATACCATATGGGCAAGTGGTGCAGGTTTTCACGTTATTCGCGTGGCGCGGGCCTATGAATCACGTCTGTGATTGCGTGTATATTTCTGCATCTACGCAATCTTGGTAACTATGGAAGATACAATAAAGAAATAATCAAGACGACGAAGATGAAAGCGAGGGGAGAAATGAATTCGAAGCAGGTCTAGTCAGTCCACCAACGTCGCGTCTGCTTCGTTCTCATCCCACACGTCAAAAACTCCCACCAACTTGGCACTATAAAACTTCAGCTGGTTCTTAGGATGCTCTCATAGTCAACCAGGGATATTCTCGTCATCGTCCAAGCCTAACTTATTCGAACTGATCAGCGTGTCCGTGTATATTTAGCTGTACGTAGTTGCGAAAAGAGAACAGACAAACATGCGAAATCTGCAGCAGAACGGTTGAAGAAGAAAGGGGATGAGTAATTTGTCCACGTCCCGCTCTTGTCCTAAGTTTCATTGTACATAGCGATGGAGGTTGACCTAGCTGAGTAGTTTGCCCTTGTTTGATGTTTGAGAGGGTTTCAGTCCAATGCCCAACACAGTTGAGTCCGCTTCATTATTCTTATTGAGCTTGATGGCGAGCACCGGTTAAATATGTAATCAATAAGATATATATTTCAATTTTTATAAAGTATGGATTACATGTAGGAAGAAAAAAATGATCACTTTAATTCTAGCAGGTCTTTCTTATTGGTACTTAGTAAGTTGGAATAATGACACAAACAGTCCATGAACTTTGGCCCAATGTACAATATAGTTCTTGAATTTTTTTTAATTTGTTCAACGTAGTCCCTGAATTTTAGCCTAATGTTCAATATGGTTCATGAACTTTTAATTTGTTCAATATGGTCTTTGGACTTACGTAGTTCCTGAATTATATGAAAATCTTCGATATAGTCTCTGAACTTGAATTAATAGAAAGACTACATTGAACATTTCAATACAGTTCAGGGACTAAATTGAACATGAATCAAAAGTTCATGGACGACATTGAACAAATTAAAAAGTTCAAGAATCATATTGCATATTAAACCAAAATTCGAGGACTCTTTGTGTCATTTTCTCTAAGTTTTTTGGGCACTGATCTTTATTATAAATGGAAGTCTCGAGAAATATTACTTACTTCCTCTTTTTCTTCATTTAGCTGTCCTACTGAAACAGGAACCTCTTCTTTTTCCTTTATCCATTGTAACTCGTCAGCATCTGGCATAAAAAGAAAAGAGCACGCCTTTCACACCACGAATCGGCAAAGCAATATACCCACCATTCGAATACTATTTATCAGTATCTTTGGATAAGATATCACTACCCACCACCTTAATCATTCTCTCTAATGGCCTTGTCGACACGTATTAAAGCTTATGATCGTGCCAATTGACTCACCTTAATCATTCTTTTAGTAGCCTTCTGTACTTTGCATTGTGCGAACTCTCTGGTCCCTCTTTCTCTTAGTTGATACCGAAGGACGTTGGATCCGAAGGACGTTCCTTGTTTCTGATCGTGATGGATCTTGGGATCTTGATTGGATGTAAAAGTTGGCGTTTTCGGGTTCAACTTCAACTGAAGTCGTCGAGGTATCAGAAGGGTTGCCATTTATGGAGCTGAAACTGTTTGATTCGCAGTCTACTACATTAGCCCACATGGGAAGATTATACTCGACCTCGGTCATGAATTGGAGGGACACTCTGAGTGTCAGGGTCTCTCCCTTGTTTTGTTCTTGCAGAGGTGAATGCTCTTTAAAGATGCCATTTTTATTGCCAAGCAGAAAATGCTGATTTCATGGTTACTAACTGTTAATTTAGAATGTTCAATCTCAAGTTTTTTTTTTTTTTTTTGGTAAGGATGTTCAATCTCAAGTTTGTCCTTGCTTCACGGATAAATCAGGAAAATGTGCATACTTGGAATTGGAATTATATATACAGAAAGACTTGCCGATTTGATAAATGCACTTTAATTCCCATTTGATAATGTTGTTTTTTCATTGTTTAGGTTCTTCAGTTAGAACTGCTTTGTCAAGTACATCAAACCATCCTCATACTACTTCAAATGGGGCATTGAGTTCATCTGGCCAACGGGTGACAGAATCTTCTTTGTATCATACTAGCGGGACAAACGGCATAATCTCGAGTGTTTATTCAAGAGATCTGAGAGTGCTAGGTGGCAACGATGATGAATATGGAGGATTTGTGGTTGATCCGGACAAACTACCCACCAATCAAAATGCCTTCGCTTTGATGCTTCGTTCCTCTCTTTCACATTGGAAAATGAAGGTGAAGGGTCTTCTTATGCAGTGAGTTTCAAGCTATGCTGTAATTTTGGTATTATATTCAAGAGTCTTCAATACCTTATAATCCCGTGTTGAAATATCCCCGCTTACAATTCTTTTCATTCAGAAGCATCCTCTTGAGCTTTCATCGGTGGCAGTGACGAGCTTTCCTGACAAATTGATCCTAATTACAAAAAAAAAAGCAATGTAATATCCTCTTTGCAATGTTAGGCCATTTTCTCTGAACCCGTAGACATCGGTTCATGATGGAATTCTTCTAGGAGACGTCAACATTTGGACTGACAATAGTATTGTTAATGTAATATACCAGTATTTGCATTTTGAATGTGACAATGGGTCAATGGCTGCTTCTAAACCTAATTGCAGACTAATGCTAATTTCACAATTATCTTGATAGCAAGGGATTAAACCCTAAATCATATAACTGCAGGGAAAGAAGGGAATATGGCTAAAGTTGCCTCTGCAAATGTCTGAGCTTATTCCAATTGCTGTGAAGGTACTTCACTATTCCTTTATCATACGTAAGTTACTTAATTTCCACCACAAAACAGAAAATATTTCACACGTACCTACTTTGTGACGGCCCCTGCAGATTCTTATATATATGTAACCCTGGTAGATTATTTAGTTCAAAAGTAGTGAGTGATATCGCCACTGACAACACATTTTTACTCCTCTTATGTATGATTGAAGGAAGGATTCAGATACCACCATGCAGAAGTAAATTACGTGATGTTGACGTACTGGTTACCGGAAGGGCCATGCATGCTTCCTGGCAATGCTTCTCATCAAGTTGGTGTTGGAGGCCTTGTCATCAATGAAAAGGATGAGGTACGACATGTTTTCTCTGATAAATTGGAAGAGTAGATGATGCTACCAAATTCATGGAATCACAGCTGAACTCACAGTGAACTTGTCCCGGCGATTGTCGTGCTCATACTATTTATGTTGATATTGACATTGATCAAATAAAAGGACATCAACTTTTGTTAAGGTTTATCTGACAACAACTCATGCTGATTGGCTGAATCGTTCATCAAAATTAACTTTTAGACAGTTGTATGTGAACGAGCTCTGGAGCTTGAATGAAAACCAGGCAGACAGAAACTGACTGTAATTCCCTCAAATGGATGGGGCTTAAGAATCACATAAAACATATGCTTCATTCTTGCTCTGTCGACATTCATCAATGTTGACGCATCTTATGGACTGAGCCCCCAATGCCGAAATTGTGACCTGCTTAGAGTCTAGTCGTTTCTTTCTATATGTTGCCTTTTTTAACCTTTTGCCAAAGTCTAGTCCTACAGTTCTGCAATGACTGACGAGTGCCAACAGGTCCTTGTAGTGCAAGAGATATACTGTTCTCCAGCGTGTGTTGGTCTCTGGAAATTACCGACTGGATTCATTGCTGAGGTATCTGATTGAATGTGCAAGATAGGTTAACTTGAGTTTTCTTTTCTTTTCCTCTCATTGTCATTATATTACTCTTTTAATTGGCAGTCAGAGGAGATATTTGAAGGAGCTGTAAGAGAAGTCAAGGAAGAAACCGGTGTAAGTATCTCTTTTTCACAATATTTTCGCTTTTTTCGCATTACTTATACATCGATGACGGGATCAACAAGCAGTTTTAAGTTCTTAATTATTTCAAATTCTTCCCTAATACAAGCTTTTTCCTTATTTCATGTTGCAGATAGATACTGAGTTTATAGAAATAATCGGGTTCAGGTAATGACAAGAACTCTTTTTCCTATAAGTTGCCTTGTGGTTGACAGAATCTTCTTAGAAGTAAAATGAATATCAAAGAATGGTACTTTTGCCGTACCTTTCATGGATTATAATTCATTATCTCTTCTTTTCCTTAATTCAATTTCAGGCATGCGCACAATGTAGCTTTCAACAAGTCAGATTTGTTCTTCATTTGCATGTTAAGACCTCTTTCGACTCAAATATCTGTCGATGATGTCGAAATTCAAGCGGCCAAGGTAGTGCTTGCCTCCATAGAGTAGCAAAGCTTTCTCAGTGACGATTCTTGATGTTAAACGTAGACTATTAAAGCAAATCAGCAATATTTTCGGTTATGCTCGAACGAGGATGTAAAAGTACATCATTCGCTGCTTTGACTTCATAATCACAGTTTTCACTGAAAATACCAGCTGAATTTTTTATGCAGTGGATGCCATTGGTCGAATTTGTAGAGCACCAACTCATCCAAGGCGATAGAATGTTCAAGAAAGTAATCGATATTTACATTGCTCGGCTGAGGAAACAGTATTGCGGATTGTCTGCTCATCAATCAGCCTCCAAGTTCGACGGCAAAGAATCAAACTTCTACTACCATGTAATTGACTCCCAAGATGATTGTGAAGCCTGCTCAGGCTAGCAGGTCCACCTCCAGGAAGCAGCTGATGTACCTTGCTCATTGATGATTTTCCAATCATGTACCATCTCTAGCTTTCAATGTCTGAGTATGAAATAGTTGCTTTCCCATTCGAGATGTTCCAGTTTCCTTAAATACTGGAGCTGATAAGTCACAGAGGGATGAAATTAACAAGGTATCCCTGTAATGTAATTCTTTCTTCTCATGCATCATGCCTATAGTAACATTGGGAAAGTCGTGCATCTTCTGTTACTTTAGTCGCGTCATTTCTCCGTGTATACACCAGAATGTCGAGTATGAATTTGAAATGACATCTTTTCACTGGATGAAACATTCCATTGCGTTAAAAGGACCCTGAAAATGATTGGGGGTAAGCCAGTTAAAACAAAGACAACCGGGAAGCTGATGGGTGTTGCTTCAGTGCTTGAACCAGTTCAGCAATTAAGTTCCAAGTGATTGACCCTGTAACTGTAAAATCTCATTAGAAATAAAGGTAAATGATCCTCTACAGGGCTTGCATAATCTTGATGGTGAGGTGGGGACGATGAGACACAAACAGAAGATGCTAGTAATGAAGATAATTGCTCAGATCAGGTGTTAGATTATTGGTTAGAAAACTTAGTCCCGTCCATTAAAGCTAGCTCTGACCGCGATTTCGACTCAGAAAATAGGCAATGACTTTGATCAAGTGTTTCATTGCGCAAATCTCTTAGTGGGTCTTTTGATCTCAATCCTAAACAGGGTAGATTTGCTTCTCTACCAGGCAAGACTTTTCTTTTGGCAGATTGATCGCAATTAAAAGCTGGAAAACAAACAAACTCTCCAAAGTTAATAGAACCAAAAATATAAAACGACTAGGAATTTGGCAATTCTCAGGTGGACTTATTAGGGAAACAGTATCTATACATACAAAGAAGTCAGATTTATGTCAGCTTATTGCCTGGATCACTGTCCTGGGAACCAAACTCAGAACATTCTGCGTCGCTTGCAGGCCTTTTCCCCCTTGATATATTGCACCCCTGCTGTGTCTTGTAAAATAGAAAAGGAAAATAATCATTAGGGATTTTTTGTTTTACTGAAATCTTCTTATCGGTGGAAAATGATTTGAGTAAGTTTGAATTTAGAGAAAGTAAACCATCTTCTGGTGTTTGTTCATGCTGAAAACAAGTTGAAAATTTGGTTTGCTGGTATTTGATGATAAGTGAATCACTAAAGCCAGCTTCTATGTTTAAAAATTACAGGCAATGACTAAAAAAATTAGAATCAATATCTTCTTTATATATCTGATATTCCATCAAAATAATGAGAATTATAAAGAAATCAATAAAGAAATTACGATATCATATTTATAAAATATTGTATATGACGGTATTTTTTTTAAAAAGTAGAAGAACAAGAGCATTAATGAAGTATATTAAGGAGATGATAGACGAGAGTTATGAAAAAACTTATGAGACTTAACGGGAAACATAATTTGATGATAGATAGGAAATACAATAGAGGACTTCTCACTTGGATGTGCAGCAAGAAATCAGGGAAGAAAATTTCCTTCTTACCATAATGGAAAGTCATTTGCCCCAATTTAAACTTGTCTTCAGTCAATGGAACACGTTTTCCATTGACTAGTTTTTCATCATCCAAACTCTGGGGAGCACATCAAATAAATTGACTCGAATAGTGCCTTGCGCTTACTTTCAAGCAATCACTTAAGTAACACAATTTTTGAAAATCAATCATTCAAACGACATCGACCACTATTATCACTAGAAAATCTCATGAAGCATTATTTTAGAGTAAGTAATGCAACTCTCACCGGAGATGTCAAGATATTCGAGATACAGATCAAACAACGTTGCTTGGCAAATCAAATTTGCCCCAACTTTAGAGATTAAGTTCTGCTTGCTCCATAAACCAAACACTAAACCCAAAATTCTTGCTCCAAATTGATAAGTTAGGTTTAATTTGTTTTCCCAAAAGCCCTAGCCTCAAATTCCAATTTCAATTCGAACGGACTATCAAGCAACGAAGCGGCCGTTTTTGGATGACCTAATTTAGTCCCAAATCCTCAAATTGGTGCATGGAGGGGCTTAAACTGCATAGTTTTATAAGTTTTTTTTGCAGTCATCATCTTTCCACACAAGCCACCTCGGATAATTAAATATTAAGTTAATCCCGTTTGAAACTTTCGGGTAAGGGAAATTGCCAATGCAACTTAAATGAACATTTTCTAAAAGTTATGAATTTTGTAAGATCTTGAAAAGTTGTGTCACCAAAGTAAACACCATATTGTCATTTTCTTATTTTAAAAGTCAAACGTGCAGAAGCCATCTCTTTAGAATTGAAAATTCAAACCAATGAATACCTTATATAAGTTAATAAGGAAGACCCAAGGAAGACCTGGAGCTGGTCAGGCGAGACCTGTGAACATTCCACAAACTAGCCGACAAAAGATGGAATTTTGTCAGAAACAGTGGGCGACCAAACCAATGAAATTCCAGAAAGAAGAAGTAAAGCAATTCGGAGAAAGATGCGAAAAAATTCCATTTGTTGATATCACTATAGGTGAGATCCTGGAATTGTTTATTTGTGGACGGCAAATGAAGTCCAATCTATAATCTCTTGGCGTGACATGTTTGAACTACAGGTTCGGATTAATCCGACAGGAAGTTTCAGACGGAGGAAAGACAATTATATCTGAACTAGACTCGACAGAAACGAAGCCAAATGCATGCACTACAGATGATGATGTCCCCTCATTGATCTGCAGATATGTTATAATGCTGAGATGGGGTTCTGCTAGAAGTTTTCTTGACTTTTCGACCTGAAAGTTCCGGCCCAGTAAACACGCTTCGCGACTTGACTCTGCTTTTTGTAATTTCAGTGGCTTCTTCGCGTCGAGTGTGGACTTAGTTAAAGACCGAGAAGGTGTCTCATCTTTAGTGTTCTTGCGGTTGACCTAAGCTTGTTAAGACTTCCAAGGCACTGGCTAGCGGCTTTTTTATTCTAACTGGGAATTTTCTCTTCGAAGTTGCCCAGAAATAGATATATAATCACGTTTCCATCTTAATAAGCTCTTCAGTACCACTCATTCTCTAGCAGCAATCTCGCTGATGGCATCCATTTTCTTAGTTATGATCTTCTTATCCTCCATCTTTAGAGCTACCGAAGCTTGTAGGTCTAATTCCAAAACTATACAGTGCAGCCATGGAGGTCCTGTAATTCAATTTCCTTTCTGGGTGGAATTTCGACAACCCCGCAGCTGCAACTCTTCTGGGTTTGAGCTCATTTGTAGAGAAAATGCCACCGCAATTCGCTTCCCATCCTACGGGGACTTAGTGGTGAAATCCATTCTTTACAACACTAGGAAGCTCAATCTCATTGACCCTAAAAGCTGTGTCCACGAAGTCTTTCTCAATCTCAACCTCTCCCTCACACCCTTCCGTTACTATTATTCTGTTAGGAACTACACTTACCTCAACTGCTCGGCACCTCTTTCAAATCCTTTCACAGAGATTCCATGCTTGAGTGGCATCGGGTTTCATGTTTATACCATCGAATCTTCTCTTCCCGTGCCAGGTTCTTGCAAAAAGATTAAAACAGTTGCAATCCCGTTCTCTTATAATCCTTATATATCTGACAACACCTTTGGTCTTGGGTTGACATGGGACCAGCCTGGTTGTGAGGGCTTCACCTCAAACTGTCATCGCCATATCTTATCTATCGACAGGGGAAGTGGCAAAGGTAACTTTTCATCGCCCTGCCTACTTCTGCAAATTTGAATTAATGGTGATGGCTTCTGCATAAAAGTTTTTCTTGTTTCATGGTGGTCACTGTGGTATCTATTACATGCATGACAGGCTTAAAGGTGCTAGCACAACCGTGAGAATCAAGTTAATATAGAATATTTCGAGTTTTTAAGCAGGTTGAGCTGAATAGCGACAACAAACCTCAATTACGCTCGACTGACAATCCCGGTATCACTATTTTAAGCAAAGTTTAGGCAGATTGTTGTCTGGGTTCAACTTGACTATTGCCTTATGACTGTTGAAGTAGACGCGATTATTGGCAGGTGTGATCAAAACGAGCTTGGGAGAGGTTCGCCTTAAAAACATTGCAGGCCAAATGGTCAGATGGGGTAGCAGGGCTTCAATCAGGCCTAAAATCCCCAGCCATTCCAAACAATCAAACAAAAAGCTTTCAAAATAATCATTTATACTTTACTGAAACTAGTTGAGCGAGATCAAAGATTGGATGGAAGGGGTGATCATATTGCCTCGCCCTGCCTGCATTTTATATTAGAAACAACCTCAGCCAATTGGACACGACAGATCATAAGTTCTGCATGTGTCATGGCTAGATAGCTCAAATGAATTGCTTGGTCTTTGATCTAAGTCTATAGTCTGACTATTTTCCTAGTGAGAAGCATGCAATTTCAGTAAAGCTTTTGGTATATTTTAGCTTATATGTTCCTCCTGTACAGGTGATTTTTTTCAACTGCTCAGAGATCCATGTGATTTTCATATATATTCACCGGATTGAATCGGTTATATATTCTGCGGCTCTAAGCTCTTTATTTTTTCCCTGAAGCAGCAGTTCTAAGCATCGGAATCATTATTGTCGGACTCGTTACCCTGGTAAGCATGAAAATTTATCGGTCTAGAGAGCTGCAGAAGCTGAAAAAGGACCAGAAGCTTGAAGCCCATAAATTATTAGCAGACTCCCAAAGCTCAAAAATCTGAAGCAACAATCGATTGCTGGTATTTGAGACTAGAAGCACGTAAAATTAAATTTGTGATGAAGAACCATCTCAGAACCATCAGCCAGAGAGATTCAGAATTTATCTGTTCTTTTAGTCTTAGAGAGAAAAAGCTTACTCTTCTACTGTTTTTTTATTTTAGTCTCAGATCATTTCAACCCGACAGGAGAACAAACATATGATTTACATATTATTATGATAATTTAGAATCTGCATAAGATGCTATTTCTAATGGACTCTAAAGCGCTATGCAATCATAAGAGAGGGCAGTCTCTGTCAGAAGGCCCAGTTGATTGGATTAAAGTAACTCTACTTTCCATCAAAATAGACCATGCTTCAACACATCTTTTTCTCTCTTTCTGACCGGCGAAGTTTACCACCAACTGTCGAGAACATCCTTGTCAAATACATCAAGCTCAGACTACTAAACTTCTTTTATCTCCCCTTCAGCTTTCACCTTTGCAAGAGAAAACCAACCAGATGTGCTTGAGGAAGCATCGCCAGCCAAAAGTAGAGTAAGACTTAGGTCTCCATCTTGGACTTCAAGCACAATCTAAGGGTCACCAAGATGATTCAAATTGGTTTGATTCAGGAATAAAAGGTTATTTTCCGTGGCCAGCTTTTTCTGCTTAGATGACGAATTGTATTTTCGCAGCTACGTCCTTTCCCCTATCAAATTCTAACTATTTAGAATGTCGAAATCTTTGAGGGAGAGAACTTACAACATGGTCTTCACTGAAACAAAAGTGCATGCGATCCAATTTGTGTACTCGAGTTTGTTCGTCTTGCAAGTTAGAGCTTATCAAAGGTTGACCATGGTAGGGCATACGACAGACAAGTAAGGACAGAATAAGATAGGAAAAAATAAAATTTTAAGAACCTACTAGTATTAAGGAGAGAAGATATCAATGAAACGTAATATTATATTCAAAGCCAAGTATTTAGCACAGCATATTCATCATCTTAAGTGTGCTTGTCATCTTATGGAGATGAATAGTACAAGCAACCACCTTCACTGTGCAATAAGATGAAATGGAAAGGAAGTTCATGAACGATGATCGGTACCAAGAAAGAAGAAGGGCCACACCTTCTACAATGTTCTTTCACTCTGTGCCATAGTGAGACATGCTTGTAACTTTCTGCACTTTCCCATCTTCCAACAATAATGTCGCCAACTTAGCTTTCACCACCAGAAGCAGCAAGTTCATTATATCTACCATCTCACACGCGCACACTTATGTAGAATATATTTATACAGTGAAATTAGCAGTACCTGGAACCAGAAATCAGGAGTACCGTTAAAACCTTGACAAAAATTCCCAAAAGACAAAAGGACCTTTAAAAAAAACAGAGCTGGTAGTTGTACTCTGAGCTTGCCAAGACCTTGCGACTACTAGTATTCATGCTTGTGATGTTAATCTCTTGTAATTGCTTTTAGAAACTGCTCTTTCAGCCACACTCCATTTTTGTGGCACGGGAACAAGGTGAGCCTTGGGCAATCAACCATATGCAAGCAGACTAAATCTGGAAATGATTGCCGCATTTCCCTCCAATCCATTGTCAACTCGTTCAAATACTTCAAACGCATAGTCTTGACTTTCCACTTCTTATCTTCTTCAACCTGGCCCAACTGATGAGGATGGAGAATGGAGGAGAGATAGCCTCCTCTGACATAAAGAGTCTTTAGGTTCTCAAGCTTCTCGGGCATTAGCCATGTAGGTGGTTTGGTCGAAGGGTAACAAATCAGGTCTAGTTTCTCCAAATTTTCGGGAAGTTTCGGATTGTCAGTTGTTGGTTTCTGGGCAGTGCGTTTCGTGAATGGAAATAACCCCGCGAAGCATTTGCTTTTGATCAGGTACTCATCGGCCGACTCTGCACCTTCAACCTTTACCGAAACAGAATCCTCGCCCCATGCAATTGTCAATTTGCGCAGCTCATTAAATTCTTGAAGAGTCCTCAACTCCTTCTCTGTTGGGAAAGAATTCCTGCCTGTGCGAAAGCCCAATTTCCTGAGTTTCTTGAGCTTGGCCAAGTCATTGACAGTACAATAGCTTCCACTTTTGAGATCACTAACCACAAAACCCATCAGCACTTCAAGCTTAACAAGCGAACCAAGCCCTTTGGGCATATATTCAAGCAAGTAGCACCCAGAAACATCCAGGTTTGTGAGCTCCTTAAGGGAACATATTTCATCGGGAAGTGACTCGAGGTTGTGACAAGCTCTGAGATCCAAAATCCGCAGATTATAAAGCTTCCCGATCGAGCCAGGTAGCTCTGTGATTCTAGAGATACCCTGAAGGCTAAAAAACTTCAGATGTTTCATGCACTTCATGCCCCGGAGGAATTCAGTGTTCTCGACTTCGATATGGTCTTTCTTTGACCCCCGCCAGCTTCCCAGGGAGAGACAATTTATATTTTTCATATTTGAGAACCAGTCCACCTTGAAATCCAGGTAAGGCTCATTGACATTGAATAGAGTACGCAGCTTTTCCATATCCGAATCGGCCATCACCTTCTGCCAGGAAGCCTCTTTCGATCTCACCAAACAAGATCTAAGACACTTGGAGAAGTCCGCTGTGGGGCAACCCCTGGAATCGAAGTCGAAAAACTTCGCTTCCTTGGCCAGAATCACCACCATGGAGCGTATCAGCGGTAACATCTTATAGCGTTTACTCGTAGTCACCATCCTGCGCTTCTTGACCACCGGTTGAATGAAACCCTTATCCACAAGATCCTTCAAAATATCACCAACGGATTTGTCTTTGCTATTTGAAGGGTCAATCAACCCTTCCCCGACCCACCAGTAATACAGGAACCTCTTCTTGATCTCAGCATGCTCAGGAAATACGGCGAAGCACAGCAAACACTGCTTCGATCGGATATCAAGCTGCTCGTAGGTGGAACGTAAGTCCTTGCAAACAGAACTGTCACGCAACTTCTGCTCTACGGCAAAGTAAGGCATTTCTTTACAGTCGTCAAACTCATCGGCCACTTGTGCGCCCCTGTGGGCATCGGAGGTCGTGGGCGATATCTTGTTGGAAGGGGGAATATTAAGCTTCAACTTCGTGACTATTTCGGTGAGGTCAGAGAGCTGGACTTGGATCTTCTCGGAATTGCCGTTGGCAGCCCCAGGTGTTTGCGGTGAATCCAGGAAGGCCGCGTCCTTGCTCTGCTTGACGAGTTCCTTGATGAGCTGGCTGACGTTGTCCTCGGCCTTCCTATGCCTGTCCAGCGCGTCCTTGATATAACCGAGGTCTCTGTAAAGCCTCTCGATCTGATTACACAGCTCGTGATTAGAATCACTGCGAAGAGAATGGTCGATCGATTCCTCTCCGCAGCTGCGGCGTCTCGTCAGCTCCTTCTCCTTCCTCTTCTTCGTTGCGCTGATGTCGACGGGCAAGCTCTTCGCTGTCTGGATGCGACCGTGAGAGGAGTCGCCGGCTTTCCGGTCGTCTTGGGCCTTGTCGTCGTTCCGGGGTGGAACGTGTCGCTGCTTCACTTGGAAGAAGTGGGAGAGCAGAGAAGGGATGATGCTTTCGATGACCTGGACGGTCGATATCGGCTCGGAGACCGCTAGGAGGGCAAGATCCGTGTGTGAAGCCGACGACATGGCCGTTGAGGAGCGAGGTGGGAGTGAACGACAGAGAGAACTCAAAGCGAAAGATGGTGGAGCGAACAGAACGAGACTTGCGCCATCGTCAAAGCTTCTTCCATGAAGTGAAGTGAAGTGAAGCAGACGACAAGGAATAGCTCTCTCTCTCTCTCTCTCTCTCTCTCTCTCCCACACGGATGCACGGTCTTCTCCTCCATCTCATCGCTCGTGAAAAACGACATTGAAGTGCTGTCAGCATCGCGGCACAGTGAGTAAAGTGACTACTTTCAAGTCAAGGCTCTGTCACGCAACGCATAATCACAGCAAAGCCATGGGGTCGACCTTTCTTCCAACTCTTCCGGGGGAAAGCAACCCCAAAATAATCCTAAAATCATTACCTTTAGCCATCAATTCAGCCTTTAATCCTTCAATTGCATCAATTTAATTATATATATTTTTATACTAATACCAATTTAATTCAATTAATCAATTTAAATTAAAAATCTCTGACGTACATACCGGTCATTCGATATGACACGATCGATATTATAAGATGACCGGTGCAGATATAGATATTTTTTAATAATTTTTTGAATTTTTTTTTCCCTTTTCTTTTTGCTGGAGGCAAGGACAAGGGCAAGCGCTGACGAGGCCCCCCACACCAAATTCGTACGACCAACAAAACGAAAACCTATTAGAAGGAGTGGGATTGCGATTTGTCTTCCTAGATGAGGTTGGATTGATTAAGGTCGTTGCACTCTCTGTTGAGAGCCGCTTCTCTCTCTTGAAGGACCATGCCTTTTGGCGAACCACACACCTATTAGAAGGACCCCACTTTGATACAATATTGTGATGCCTTGGATATACTCACTGAGGTATTGTCCGCTTTGACCCATCAAATACCGAATCTCACTGTTTTGTTTTTTGGCATACAAATGAGCACGTTACCAAGAGGTCACTTGTGAGCATGTTTAATTTTCGAGTTCTAAAGCTAAGTATTGCCGTTACGTCAAAAGTAGCATTACAATTTTCATATATATATATATATATGTGTGTGTGTGTGTGTGTGTGTGTGTCTTAGAATCGCTCTCCTCCTATTCAGTGCATAGTTCTGTTTATCCCTACCCCATTCATATCCTAAAAGCCTGTTAGGAGCTACTCATTGTCAAGGCCCTTTGGCCCCAACATTCACTCCCCGCCCTCGTCAAACTAGGTTGTTATAAGTTACCCTGAGATCTAAGTTCGAGTTCTCCATCACAAGCGGAGCTTGATATCCAAATCTTAGGTCGACTTGATTGTGCAAGCGAGGCTCGACCCAAATGGTGTCAATCTCGAGCTTCTGGGTGGAGCTTGCCAGATTTGGGCTGGTGGTCCTTGAGCTCGGCAGCCATTGTATTCTCAAGTATCTCTCTAAAGCCTCCAAACGTGGACACAGAGAAGCAAGTTCGAAAATCAAGGTCTAAAAACAAATTGAACGTTTCCACATTTAATTTACTTAGAGCTATTAAAAGATCAACTCGAAGACTACTTCCTGGTTTAATCTCTGCTCTTCCATTTTCATTCCATTATGACGCAATGAAGTAAAAGGTTCAGTGGACATATTTCATGTCTCCACGTATCTAGTAAGAGTGGTGTCACACCCCGAATCCTATAAGACTAGGAAAATGACATGGCTGCCCTTCCACTTAAAGGATGAAACCTCAAACACAAATCTTGTATTAAAATATATATCTAACTATCTCAACTCAACTCATATCCAAAACGCAACTACCAAAAGCTCCCCGCCAATAACGCTCTCGCCTTTGATTGTCGCTAGTTAAAGAACCTAAAAAGATTGAAATGAATGAGGTGTGCATATCTCTTATAAGCAAATCGAGCGCTCACTATGCAAAATTGCAAAACCATACCGAAACTCATTTAATTCAAATCTACAATATAGAATATGTAGAACGATTTTTATCTTTTCAACAAAGCTTTATACATATAAGAAATACTCATTTCATCAGTTATATCAAGACAGATATCAATGATCCAATCCATTGTCAATCTCCTCAATTGATATTGTATGATCTATTTCATTGATTAATCTCATACTACACATCAATGGTCTATTATATTGATCCATCTCATCAATTCACTTGTCAATGGTGCATTTAATTGGCCAATCTATTGCTCAATATCAAATCATGGTTACGACACAAAGCCCAGTAATAAGACATCCAAGATTCCTCCATTAGCAAAGTCTCTACCTATTATTAACCGGTGGCTCGGCCCATAAGGATATTCTAAAACTAGTATGCATACCCAAAAACCCCTAACCGAGTTCATAGTGATATTAAACATCAAACCATCATCCTACAATATCATAAATCAAATCCAAAATCCATCTCATAAATTAGAACATATATCCTTTCACAAATCAATTCTTTCCACCAATCTAGAATCAGCATCATAAATCGTTTTCACAATATGAAACATATACCTTTTTTACTATTGAATAACTTTTCATAAATCAGATTTACAAATCAATAACATATAACCTTTTTGCAATCCCTTTCATAAAATATTTCTCAAACCATTTCACAATAATCAACTCATAAATTGTTTCAAAAAATGCTTTTCATGCCATTTCAAATAGTCAAAAGGGTAGTAAATGTCTGATCCCGACTTTATGCATCAAATATGCTATAAAAATTACTCTTGCCTCATACTTTGCACATAATATATTTAATCCTTTTCATTTTCAAAATATGAGTTTAGAAAGTCAAAGAAAAGATAGCACTACTCACCTGAAAATGCCTAAAACCAAACAATGTAGTTATACGATCTCGTAATCCTATCAATTAAACTATAATCGACATTAAAACCAAGTAAAATACTACTTTATCTAATCACTCGACTAAACCACTCTATTTCAGAGTCAAAATGCTCACTATGGGTTGACAAAGGACCTCAAGAATGGCCAATCATGGCAAAAAAATCACTAACGTGAGTAATAACCACTTGCATGACCAATGACCACTCGCGTGACAAACTTTCTTGCACCATAACTCTCTCCACCAAACTCCTCAAGCGAGCTTATAATAGAATAAAATAAAAAAGCACTTTCAAAGTACTAGAAGACCTATAGCTTGGCCAATCCAAAATCTAGTCGACAACCGACGAAAATTGGCCCGAAAGTTGCTAGTCGAATACTATTCAACACACATAAAAACTTCGAAATTTCGTTTCAGGCAAACCGTAAGCCGAAATTGATTATATTAAATCCTACAACTCCACAACACCCTAAACTATCAATCTCACATAATTTCTAAGTTTAACAACTACTAAATCGGGCTTGCAATTCCAATTTCAAATAATTTCGAATTTGTGCCATGATTAAGAAAACTACTCCAATTAGAAGAACAAAATGCTTAAATCCTAATGGAGCATTGTAAATTGAAATAAATCCGGCTTTGAGGGGTTTCGTGGCGTGTACCCCTTCTCCCTTTTCTCTTCTTTCCGTCCCATTTCTTCCGTGGGTCTTCTCTTTCTCTATTCCTTTTCCTTTCCTCTTTATATGAACGCGCATCTTCTTTTCTTTTTCTTTTTCTTTTTCTTTTTCTTTTCCTTTTTGACCTTCGATTGGTCAAAGTCCACAATATTACAAGTGGGATAAACTCGATATGTGCATAAGAAAAACACTATTAAATAGATGATATATCTAAGGCAAAGACCACAAGCTCTGCTGCAAGGTTGAGCTCGAGCCCCATATCTAGGCAAGCACTGCCGTGCCGCTCAAGCTCAACACCATTTAGGCTGAGCTCCGTTTACGGCTTCGAGGTCGGCCCTGGGTATCGAGATCAAAGAGTGTGGAGAGACCCGAACGGAGAGAAGACAAAGAAGCGGTGGCAGCCTCCCGAAGCTTTGCGGATGAACTAAAGAAAACGAAAAAAAAAAATGAATAGTACATGCCAATGTAAGAAAGAAGGAGAAGACCATGTTATTCTTTCTTTTTCTTTTTTCTTATTTTTATTTTTAAATTTTCACTTTAACAAATTTTAGAGCTTGATTACTTTTTTCTGGAGTTTTAGAATTCAATTGCACTTTCAAGATAAATTTTAGGAATTCTAATGCACTTTTTTTTTTTTCTGGCCAAGAGTGACTACTTGTATTACATTTTCACTGCCAGAGATACTTTTCCACTTTGATTGGCCGAGGCCTCATATTTGTCATTGAGATATACTTGTAAGATGTGTTAGAAAAGTCTCACAAAAATTCGTGTAGTGTAGAAAAGTTAATATATTCAAAGTGGCTCGTAATTTATTGATTTAAGTTTTTGGTTAGATGGGTTCAACCGGATATTTTAACGTGCTCAGATTTGCTCCCTCTTTGTGATCTCCTCAAATTAAGGTATCGGATATGGTTAAAGGGGACAATTTCGCAAACAAAGAATTAGAAAGTGCACAACACAGTAAAATAAATTTTTAAGTACTTACGGATATATATGTATTATTACTCGTTCCTTATTTCTCTTTCTTTTTTTTTTTTCCAAAAATGTTGTTATATTCTGAAAAGTTTGCTAGACATGAGGATGGTGGTGGTCGTAGAAGGAGAAGAGCGACCAGCGTGATGTTCGAAGTGAAGCATTGATTTTCAGTTTGCAATTGAAAACAGAGTTCGGGTTTTGATTGCGATCTAATATATTCCCGGACGAAAGGGCTTAAAGGCTTAAACAGCGTTATCCTAGAATATTTTTGCTGTCATTGTCTCTCCGCATAAGTCATGTTGAATGATCAATGTCAATTGAGCGCCCACATGGAATTTTCAAGCTAGGAAAATAACGTTTTTAAAAAACTATGGCATTTAATAATAAATTGAAGAATTGTAGCACCAGAGTAAGTGCCGAATGAAGTGTCATTTTCCAAAATTGAAAAGATAACTCCGAAAGTCAAACATGTCGAAGTCATCTCTCTAGGGTTGAAAATTCAAATCAATGGAGGCCTTATGAAAGTTAATAACTAAGACCCAAGAAAGACTTGGAGCTGGGGAGGTGACACCTCTGAAACTCCACTGACTAGCCGACGAAAGATGGAATTTTGCCAGGGGCAGAAGGAAATCCAAGCAATGAAATTCCAGAGAGAGGAAGTAAACGATTCGGATAAAGATGCCACAACTTTCATTTGTTAATATTACTGCAGGTGATATCCAGAAATTGTTTATTTGTGGACGGCAAATGAAGTCCAATCTGTAACCTCTTGGTCTGAACAGCCAATTAATGGGGTGGATCCCGTGTTCGAATCACAACACCTCCCACGCAAGAGTTACCTTAAAGCTAGCCACTTTTGTAGTGGGAATCTTACTCAATGCATGTGAATTATAGGTTGCCATCGCTTAACTAAAGGTTCGGATTAACATGACAGCAAGTTTCAGACGGAGGAAAGAAAATCAAATTCTAATCTAGACTAGATAGAAAAGAAGCCACAAGATTGATATCCCCTCATTGATCTGCAAACATGTCATAATTGCTGGGATGGGGTTCTGCTAGGAGTTTTCTGACTTTTCAACCTGAAAGTTCCAACCCAGTAAACACTCTTCAGGACTTGACCCTGCTTTTTGTAATTTCGATGGCTTCTTCGTGTCAAGTGGTGCACTTAATTAAAGACCAGGAAGGGGTCTCCTCTTTAGTGCTCTTGCAGGTGACCTGAGCTTGTTAAAACTTCGACGCAACTGGCTTCAGGACTTCGACGCAGTTGACCTGAAAGTTCCAACCCAGTAAACACTCCTCAGGACTTGACCCTGCTTTTTGTAATTTCGATGGCTTCTTCGTGTCAAGTGGTGCACTTAATTAAAGACCAGGAAGGGGTCTCCTCTTTAGTGCTCTTGGAGTTGACCTGAGCTTGTTAAAACTTCGACGCAACTGGCTTCGTTATTCTGACTGGGAATTTTCTCGCGAAAGTTGCCCAGAAGAAAACTCACGATCACGTTTCCATCAGAATTGGCTGCTTCAATATTCACTCATTCTCTAGCAGCTATCTCGCTGATGGAATCCATTTTCTTAGTTATGATCTTCTTATCCTCCATTTTTATAGCTACCGAAGCTTATAGGTCTAATTCCAGAACTTTACAGTGCAGCCATGGAGGTCCTGAAATTCAATTTCCTTTCTGGGTGAAATTTCGACAACCCCACGACTGCAACTCTTCTGGGTTTGAGCTGATTTGTACAGAAAACGCCACCGCAATTCGCTTCCCGTCCTACGGGGACTTGGTGGTGAAATCCATTCTTTACAACACTAGGAAGCTCAATCTCATTGACCCTAAAAATTGTGTCCATGAAGTCTTTCTCAATCTCAACCTCTCCCTCACGCCCTTCCGCTACTATTATTCTGTTAGGAACTACACTTACCTCAACTGCTCGGCACCTCTTTCGAATCCTGTCACAGAAATTCCATGCTTGAGTGGCGTCGGGTTTCACGTTTATACCGTCAAATCTTCTCTTCCCGTGCCGGCATCTTGCAAAAAGATTAAAACAGTTGCAATTCCATTTTCTTATAGTCCTTATATATCTGATAACACCTTTGGTCTAGGGTTGACATGGGACCAGCCGGGTTTTGAAGGCTTCACCTCAAACGGTCACCGACATATCTTATCTATTGACAGAGGAAATAGCAAAGGTAACTTTTCGTCGCCCTGTCTACTTTTGTAAATGTGAATTAATGGTGATAGCTTCTGCACAAAGGTTTATTTTTTTTGTTCCATGTTGGCCACTATGGTATCTTTTACACGCATGACTTGAGCTTAAAAGTGTAAGCACAGTCATGAGAAGCAAGTTAATCCAGTATATTTCGAGTTTTTTAGCGGGTTGAGCTGAATAGTGACAAACTCGATTACGCTCGACTGACAATTCTAGTACCAATATTTTAAGTATAGTTTAGGCAGATCGTTGTCTGGGCTTGATTATTGCCTTATGACTTTTGAAGTAGACACGTTCATTGGTGGGTGTGATCAAAACGAGCTCCGAAAGATTGTAGACCGAAATGGCCAGAATGGGTGGCAGGGCTTCAATCAGGCCTAAAAATCCCCAACCCTTCCAAACAATCAAACAATAAGCTTTGGAAAATAATGAATAATACTTTTCTGAAATAGTTGAACGAGATAAGAGATTGGATGGAAGGGGCGATCATATCGTCTTGCCCTGCCTGCGTTTTATATCAAAAAGCCAACTGGACACGACAGATATCAAAACTTATGTTTGTGCCCCGGCTTGATAGCCCAAATGAACCGCTTGGTCTATGATCAAGTCTGTGGTCGACTCTTTTCCTAGTCAGAAGCATGCATGCAGTGAAGCTTTTGGTATATTTTAGCTTACATGTTCCTGTACAAAATATTTCTTTCAACTGCTCAGAAATCCATGTGATTTTCATATATACTCACCAAATTGAATCAGTTATATATTCTGCACCTCTAAGCTCTTTAATTTTTTCCCTGAAGCAGCAGTTCTAAGCATCGGAATCATTGTTGTCGGACTTGTTGCCCTGGTAAGTATTAAAATATATCGGTCTAGAGAGCTGCAGAAGCTGAAAAAGGATCAGGAGCTTGAAGCCCACATATTATTAGCAGACTCTTAAAGCTCGAAAATCTGAAGCAACAATTGATTGCTGGTATTTGATACTTAAATCATGTAAAAATAAATTTGTGATGAAGAGCCATCTCATAACCATCAGCCAGAGATTCAGAAAAGTGTACTCTCCGACTGTATTTGATTTTCATAAAAGTGTACTCTTCTACTGTGTTTGATTTAGTCTCAGATCATTTCAACCCAACAGGAGAACAAACATATGATTTACATCTTTTTAAGATGATTTCAAACCTGCATAAGACACCCTTTCTAATCTTGGACTCTTATGCACCATGCAATCATAAGAGAGGGCATTCTCTGTCAGAAAGGCCGGTTGATTACATTAAAGAAACTCTGCTTTCCATCAGAATAGACCACGTATTGCCAGCCAAAAGTAGAGCAACACTTAGGTCTCCATCTGGGACTTCAAGCACAGTTTAAGGGTAACCAAGATGATGCAAATTGGTTTGAACCAGGAATTGAAGGTTAATTTACATGGCCAGGTTGTTCTGCTTGGATGATGCACTGTATTTTGGCAATTACGTCCTTTCCCCTATCATATTCCAACTATTTGAAATGTTGCAATATATGAGGGGAAAAAATTACAACACGGTCTTCACTGAAACTACAGTAGATGCAATCCAGTTTGTGTACTCGAGTTTGTTGGAGTCGCAAGTTAGAGCTTATTAAAGGTTAGTTAGGGGCAGGGCATACAAGAAATTCGTATGGACAGAACAAGATAGAAAAAAAAAGGCGGAAATTTTTAAGACATACTAGTATTCAGGAGAGCAGAAGTCAACGAAACATAATCTTAAGTGTGCTTGTCATCTTATGGAGATGAATAGTACATACAAACACCTTCAACTATGCAATAAGATGAAAATGGAAGGAAGTTCATGAACGATGATCGTTGCCCAGAAAGAAGAAGGACCACATCTTCGGAGATGTTCTTTCACTCTGTGCCATGGTGTGACATGCTTGTAGCTTTCTGCACTTTCCCTCCTTCCAATAACAATATCACCAACTTAGCTTTCTCCACTAGAAGCAGCAAGTTCATTATATCTACCATCTCACACGCGCACACTTATGTACGATATATATATATATATAGTGAAATTAGCTGTACCTGGAACCTGAAATCAGAAGGAATACAATTAAACCTTCACAAAAATTCCAAAAAGACAAAAGACCTATCGAAAAAAAGAGCTGTTAGTCGTACTCTGAGCTTGCCAAGACCTTGGGACTACTAGTATTCATGCTTGTGATGTTAATCTCTTGTAATTGCTTTCAGAAAACTGCTCTTTCAGCCACACTCCATTTTTGTCACACGGGAACAAGGTGAGCCTTGGGCAATCAACCATCTGCAAGCAGACTAAATCTGGAAATGATTGCCGCATTTCCCTCCAGTCCATTGTCAACTCGTTCAAATACTTCAAACGCATAGTCTTGACTTTCCACTTCGTATCTTCTTGAACCTGGCCCAAATGATGGAGATAGCCTCCTCTGACATAAAGAGTCTTTAGGTTCTCAAGCTTCTCAGGCATTAGCCATGTAGGTGGTGTGGTCGAAGGGTAACAAAGCAGATCTAGTTTCTCCAAATTTTCGAATTGTTTTGGCTCGTCAGTTATTGGTTTCTGGGTAGCGCATTTCTTGAATGGAAATAATCCCGCCATGCATTTGCTTTTGATTGGGGCATTAACGGCTAACTCTGTACCTTTATCCTCTTCTGAGATAGAATTCTCACCCCATTCAATTGTCAATTTGCGAAGCTCATTAAATTCTTGAAGAGTCCTCAACTCCTTCTCTGTTGGGAAAGACTTCCTGCTTGTGCGAAAGCCCAATTTCCTGAGTTTATGGAGCTTGGCCAAGTCATTGACAGTACAATAGCTTCCACTTTCGAGATCACTAACCACAAACCCCATAAACACTTCAAGCTTAACAAGCGAACTAAGCCCTTTGGACATATATTCAAGCAAGTAGCAACCGGAAACATCCAGGTCTATGAGCTCCTTCAGGGAACATATTTCATCCGGAAGTGACTTGAGGTTGTGACAAGCTCTAAGATCCAAAATCCGAAGATTATAAAGCTTCCCAATCGAGTCGGGTAGCCCAGTGATTCTAGATATACCCTGAAGGCTTAATAACTTCAGATGTTTCATGTGCTTCATGCCCCGGAGGAATTCTGTGTTCTCCACTTCGAAATGATCTTTCTTTGACCCCTGCCAGCTTCCCAGGGAGAGAAAATTTATATTTTTCATATTTGAGAACCATTCCACCTTGAAAACCAGGTAAGGCTCATTGACATTGAATAAAGTACGCAGCTTTTCCAAATCAGGATCGTCCATCACCTTCTGCCAGGAAGGCTCTTTCGATCTCACCAAACAAGACCTAAGACACTTAGAGAAGTCCACTGTGGGGCAACCCCTAGAATCGAAGTCGAAAAACTCCGCTTCCATGGCCAGAATCACCACCATAGAGCATATCAGCGGCAACATCATATAGCTTTTACTTGTAGTCACCATCCTGCGCTTCTTGACCACCGGTTGAATAAAACACATTTCTACAAACTCCTTCAGAATATCACCGACTGACTTGTCTTTACTATTTGAAGGGTCAATTAACCCTTCCCCAATCCACCAGTAATACATGGTTCTCTTCTTGATCTTAGCATGCTCAGGAAATACGGCAAAACACAGCAAACACAGCTTCAATCGGGTATCAAGCCGCTCATAGGTGGAACGTAAGTCCTTACAAGCCGAACTACCAAGGAACTTCCCCTCTACCGCTAGTCAGGCATTTCTTTATAGTTGCCAAACTCATCAGCCACTTGCTCGCCCCTGGGAGAATCGGATGTCAAGACAATATCTTGTGGGGAGGGGGTATATGGAGCTTCAACTTCGTGACTAGTTCAGCAAGACTTGGATCTTCTCTGAATTGCCGTGGGTAGCCCCAGGTGTTTGCGTTGAATCCAGGAAGGCCGCAATCTTGCTTCGCTCGAAGAGGGTCTTGATGAGCTTGCTGACACTGTCCTCGGTCTTCCTAAGCCTGTGCAACACGTCCTTGACATAACCGAGGTCTCTGCTAAGCCTCCCGATCTGATCACACACCTGAACATTCAAGTCATCGTGAAGAGAATCGTCGGTAGCTTCCTTGCCCTTGCTGTTGCTTCTCCTCGAATTCTTCTTCTTCTTCCTGGACTTGCCTCCTTTGCTGTTGCTGCCACTTCCGTTGCTGAGGCTCTCGATGGGCAAACTCCTCGCTCTCTTGATGTCACCGTGAAAGTCGCTGGCTTTCTGGTTGACTTGGGCCTTGTTGTCGTTCCGGGGTGGAAGTCGCTGCTTCACTTGAGAGAAGTAGGAAAGCAGAGAAGGGATGATGCTTTCAACGACCTGGACGGTCAGGATTGGGTCGGAGACCACTAGGAGGGAGAGATCTGTGTGTGAGGCTGACAACATGGCCGTTGAGGAGGACTGACTAACGGAGAGAATTCAAAATGAAAGAAAATGGAGAGAACAGAACAAGACTATCAGCCATCGTCATGCTTCTGCCATGAAGTTAAGCAGACGAAAAGTGTAGCTCTCTCTCTCTCTCACACGCAGTCTCTTACTCCATCTCATCCCTCGAGAAATATGAAAATGGAGTGCTAAGAGCATCGTGACACAGTGAGTCAGTGACTACTCTCAGATCAAAAACTGTCCGGCATCGGCAAAATCACAGCTAAGGCGTGGGGTCAATCTTTCTTTCAACTTTTCTCATGACCTGTTTATTCCCTTGAGCCTTGTTAGGACCAGATGATTAGTGCTTGAGAATATCTGCAAATTCCCTACGGTGAACTACGAATATGAATGGCGTTACTCACCTCCACTTCATAGAACATTGCTACAGAAAACAGAGATCAGCAAGATTCCAAATTCTCGAAATCGTGGAAGTTGCTTTCCAGTATGCAGCTCCCAAACACGCGCAGACATCCATCCACGTAACTGAGTAAGAGAGAAGCTACTGGAGCAAATGCACAGCTGCCAAATCGTTTTACACACTTTGCATCGCTCTTTGTCGTACTATGGATAGACTGTGTTTAGCGAATGATATTCTTCGCTTCGTGCCTGGCCTTCTCTAGAAAATGGCAGTTGACTACTTTCGATGTTTTAGGCCAAAAGTGATTTGCTTATATTGCATACTCGATGCGAGAGATGCTTTTCCACATTGATGGGGTCAAGGCCTCATATTTGTCAACATTCGCATGCTGCTTTACTTATCAAATAATATATCCTAGGAAATTCACGTGAAATCATGGGTGGAGGGGGACAATTTGCGAACCATGAATTAGAAAGCGCATAACGCAGCAATCGGGTTGTATTTTTACTTGAGTGCAGACTCTCTCTCCCTAGGAAAGAGAGATTTTTTTTTGTTTTTTATATGAAAACGAACTAAAGTCGAAATACAAAAATTTAACGTTGTAAATCTACTATCCCTATTTTATCATCTAATAAAACATGAAGTAAGTTTGTAAGAGATAATGAAAAGAAACTAGTACCCAAACGCTTATCGATTACAAGATTAGCAAGCCAATCAGCAGATTGATTTCTTTCCCAAAAGTTATGTTGCACTTTAAAGACAAGGTGAGAGCAAGGCAGTCTTATAATATATTTAGGCAAAGCGGGGCCAACATTATCAATCATAAGCTCTGGCATAATAAGATTAGTGATTGTTATAGAGTCAATTTCAATGATGATCTTATGAAAACCAAGATGTTTTGCGAAGTTGATTCCCAACCACAAAACCCAAAGTTCTGCTTGTGTCGACAAACATATTCTTACGAAAGCATCAAACCCACCAAGCTAGTCACCCCCTTCATTTCTAAATAAACCCCCTGCACCAGCACGTCTTGAGTTACCTTTAGAGGCCCTCAGTTTAATCCACCTGGATGGTGGAGGATCCCATCTGAATAAAATCAAAGAAGTACATGATCCACTCAACGTCGAATTATTCACAAATGAAGCTTTAATGATTTCCATTGTTAATGATCGAATGACTTGTACTGGATTTGAAAGGAAAAAAAGTTATCATGCAATATTTGAATTCAACCATTGTGACAAATTCATTGAGAAAAAATCTCCCAAATATTGTTGTGGGGCAAAGTCAAGCCATATCCTACGGATAGTTGGACAATCCCTTAGAACATGTAAAGTAGTTTCCACACGAGACTCACATCTCAAGCAATATGGATATCCTCTCAAGTTGCGAGACGTCTTCAATTCACATTTGTCAACAGTCACTTATAAGCGGCTAGCCAAAGGAAAGTTCTAATACATTGAGATCCCCTCCTCTTCCAAATTGTGGACCATATACTATCAGATTCTTGACTGTCTGCCCCATTGATTACCTCGCACACTGACTTAACAGAGAAAAACCCGCTTCCAATACCCCCCCAAACAAGAGTATCGTCCCCATTAAAGGCTCTAGGAGGTTTGACAACTTTAATGCGAGAGATTATATCTTATGGTATAATTCCCGAAATATCCGAAAATTCCAATTTCCATTTAGCACATAATCGCAAACTTTTCTGTCCATTGCGAAAGGAGATAGTTAGGTATTAACAATATTATAGAGTAGCTCCATACCTGATATCCATTTATCTGTCCAAAACTTAACATGTTTTCTATTTCCCAAACTCCACAAGGCTCCTTCCTATAAGGCCGGCCATATGTTCACAATCGCCTTCCACAAGATCCACTAGATTTAGCATGAAAATCAGTTTTCTGCAAACAATATTTAGCAGTCAGATTGAGTCATGAGGCCCCACGCTAGCTTCATCATGAATCCTTGATTAGTCACTTCAAGATACCTAAAACCAAGATCACCACATATTTTAGGCTTGTGGATGGACTCCCAATTTAGGAGGTGAATTCAACGTTTATTGCTTGTATCTCCCTATATGAAAGCATGACAACTCTTTTCGATCTCTTGACAAACTTGAGTTGAAACTTTAGTGCACCGCAATGTGATAGATATGGATAGACATAAGTATAGACTGGGATAAAGTGATTCAGCCTGCCATTGACAAGCTTTCAGATTTTCATCCACTAAGCCTTTTATTCGTCCTCTCTAAAACATATTTGAAAATGCCTCGAAGAAGTTCTTCCATGAATCAAAGGCACTCCCCGGATATTTGCCTAGTTTCACACATACACCAAAACTAGAATTCTCACTCAAATTTCGTTTCAACCCCAAAAAAATATTCTTTTAATAGATATTATAGTTTTAGCTTTGCTCACAATCTGTCTTGATATAATGCAAAAATCACCTAAACATTCCATGATGACATCCATTTGACCTCTCGAAGCCTTTACCGTTAACTAGGAAATTATCCGCAAACATTAGATGAGAAATCCGTGGTCCACTCCTTCGAAAACAAAACGGTGGAGAATTTACCGCATCACTAATAAGGTGAGATAACATTTCCATGTATAACACAAACATGTATGGTGAAAGAAGGTCTCCTTGACGTATTCCCTGTTTGGGAAGAATTTCTCGGTAGTCTCGCCATTCCACCAAACTTGCAAGGATGATGATGATGCGATGCAATTCATTATTAAACGAACCATAAAATCTGGGATACCTGACATGTGAAAGTAGATTTTTAAGTACTCTTGAATACGCTATGCCCCGTGCCTATAATTGATTATCAAGGTCATATCACATTCCGAGTGCACTTAAAATTTATCAATTTATCTCACTGGAAATGTTCTTATATCATAAAAGATTTCCTTTTCCATTAGCATTGCATAACGATGGACTCAGTCCATGGACAAGTAATCCCAACACAACTTCTTTTGAAAAGATTTAGCAAAAAAAAAAAAGTTCTTTTCAAAAGACAAATTGCTCATAATTTCAGAGATTATTGCCGGATCCACCGCCGGTGTATAGATATGTTTATACGTTTTCGCATCCATCACTTGACGAGTGACAATATGTTAGAAGTAAATTTTATGACCGAATTCTCAACTACCCAATGATTTCCAATTTGATAAGGAGAGAGGTGATTTTTCTGTTCCTTGTCGTTGGATTCCGGTAAGTCCGCCAGACATAAAGGGACATGTCGGCCAGAAGCAGGCTGGTTGATAGAGATTGTTGGGCGGTGAGAAGGCAAAGGAACATGAAATTCCGCAGACACTAATGGTTTTCTGTTCTGGCAAGACAAGCCATTGTCGAGCACCACAATGAAACGTTTGAGAAATCAGCTGATTCGGGCAAACTCCCAATCGTGACCTTCGGATTCGTAGAGCCGTCGTGACCCGTTTTCAGATGCAGCAGCAAGTTTTCCTCCGATTTTGCGATGACACTCCATGAATCTCCCCCACAAAAAATTGATCTACTCCTAAAACCGAGCATCCTGGACCAGCGTCGACGTGAGAATTTTGATTCTCGAACGAAAGCCGAATGACCGAAAATGGTGCAAACTACATCATATACCAGTCCTTGCACATCTCTGGACAGATAAAGACTCCGCAAAAACTTCTGCTCAGGAACGCGGATCGAAACGAGTAAATATGGTGTAAGCAAAGATTTTTCCTTCAGAGTCGGGCGTGGTCAGAGAGAATTTGTCGTCATACAGTCGGTGAATCGAAGACTGGAAGTCAAGATTCAGATCTGAGCCCAGAGAGAGAGAGTGGAGACAAAGATAGGGAGAGAGGGTCAAATATACCACAAAAACATCACATAAAGACCCCACCATATCCCAATCCCAACCACCAAATCTTTGGACTTTGCTTGGTCCCATCCCGTGTTTTTACCATTTTTCACATACTTAGGTACATCGCCAACAACTGCATCCTAAAAGGCTTCAGGACATCCTCGATTTTTGACCAAAATGTCCTCTGCCCCCGGCCTCGCCCTCGCCCTTCCCCCGATCTCACGTCCTGGGCCGGAGAGCCCCGTGCGGGACCGGGCCGGGCCGCGCGGACCACGGGATCATGGGCACGGGCTCCCGGTGGTGGACGACCCTGGAACCGCCGGCGGAGGTGGAGGAGGGGGGCGGCGGCTGCGGGGGAGCCCCGACGCGCTCGCAGGAGGGGCACATGGTGAGGGTGGTGGGAGGGGGCATGCGCATGTAGAACTGAGGGGAGAGCTTGAGAGCTCGCAGCTCCTGGACCTCCTTCTGCAACCGCCGGTTCTCCTCTGTCAGGTTCTCGCAGCACCTCTTCAGGAACTCGCAGTCTATCTCCGTCTGCTTCAACTTGGTCCTGCCGAAAAACACAATTTCCAATTCCCGATCAGCATCTTACTTCTGCAAATCTGTGCTTTACTAGGGAGATAAACAAATTTACTGACGAATTAACAAATATTAATAATATTCGTTGAAGAAAAGTACCCTTATCAACCACATTTAAAATATTTACCAACCACATCCAAAAAACAGATCCCATTATTTCAAGATCACGTATTCATGTTATATGGAATATTCAAGAAACGTTTTTGATCGATACGAGTAGTAAGGTAGGGATGAACAAGTTCGTTTTTTTTTTTTTTTGCCTCTCACCGTGCTCTGCGGTTCTGAAACCAGACTTCGACTTGTCTAGGTCGCAGGCCTAGCTGCTTCGCCAACGCCAGCTTTTGCTTCTGAATCAACAAAAACGAAAAACACCCGTCAATCACAGCCCTCTCAATTGCCACAATAGCCCTTTTGAAGCAGAAAAGGAGAAAAGTACAGAAAGACTCGGAAGTCCGAAAGCCAGACCAGCAGAAGAGGAAAAGTTGCCTTTATCATTTTCTCGGCACTTCCCCTCGTTTTCCCAGCAACCCAAGCACCGCCCTTTTTTCTCACTGCCCCCTAAAAAAGAAACCCAAAACACGCGTGGGGAAATGCGAGAATCTTACGGGATTCAGGGTGTTGTGATCTCGGAAGCTCTCCTCCAAGACGGCCGACTGATCCTTGGACAGCCTCAGCTTCTTCCTCGAGTTCTCGCCGTCCTCCTCGTCGCTGCCGCCGCCGCCGCCGCGGCTACAGTCCCTCTCCGCATCGTTGTCCTCGCCGCCGCTGACCATCTCCCTCTCGCCCCTCTTCCCGCTGACGCTCGAGATAGTGCTGTTCGGCGACGACACCCCCGCCTCCTCCTCCTGCTCCTCGCAGTCCGCCGTCGACGGCGGCGGCCGGTTCACGTCGATGCCCCGCAGGAACGGCCGCGCCTCCGCCTCCGAGATCCGATCTGCATGCGACACGTTCGGTCAGAAACCTTCAAAACGAAGAAAGTCACCCCCTTTCCCCCCCTCCCCCCCAACCCCTGCGAGATCTGTTCAGATATATATAGAGAGAAGACCACCCACCTAATGAAGCGAAGGTCTCGCAGTCCCGGTGAGAGGGCTCGTGGAGGCTGAAGCCGAAAGGAGAGACACTGATCTGGGAAGGCCGATTGCTGTGAGGGAAGCTCAAGCTCAGGGACAACCCCAGATCTTCCTTCTCCACCGTCATGTTCCCTCGGATTCCTTCTTCCTCTCTTCTCTCCAGGCAAAACAGACAACACCCACCACAAGAACTCGGAAAACAAACGATCAAAAACCGTCACTTCGAGGGGAGATCTCCCTTCCTCTGAGGCCGAAAGATTGAAGATTTCGTCCTCCTTTCCTGGTGGGCGTGTGTGAGAGTTCAGAGAGAGCGAGGGCGAGGTGTAGAGAGACAGAGAATGGGTTCCGATGGGTGTGAGAGAGAAAGTGGTGGACGCAGGTTTTTATATAGGAGGAGGAGAAGTAGAAGAAGAAGAAGGTGGAGAGAGATGCGAGAGAGAGAGAGCGCGGTGTGTAAGTCGAACCATGACTACTTGTCAGGGACATCCTCGAACCTTAAATTAAATAAAATAAATTTAAATTAAAGTATTCTGACTCTGCTTGGTTTGTCCGGTTTCGACTTTTCGCAACCTTTTCCGTTCTTCCCAAGTTTGACCTTGACCACGGCTAAAGTGGCAGCTGGACCTAATGTAATGATGCTAAGCAAGTTATGTACATCATTTTAATTTGAGTTTTTAGCGAGTGAATGTTTTACATGGAGAAAAATGGTACTTGATCCCCGAGATTCGATTCGCCTAGTTAATACCTCGTATTGATTGAGTGCGCACATAATATCACACAACTCGACAATATTTCCTACCAATAGAGGAGGTGGAAAAAAGCACTACACGTGAAATATCGAATATATAATATCAATTCCAGCCGACAAAGGAAACCGTCAATTCAATCATCCGCCTACGTTTCTTTCTTTCCCTTCTAGACAATAGTCGGGCGTCCACGTCACCACGTGCGACAACAGCGTGGCGGCACTAAATCCAATTAGTCGCGAACGCTCATCGAGGAAAAAAGAAACGAGCGCGAACCGGCAGGTCAGATCGGAACACGGAAATGGACGGACATGGCTTTTACTTCCGATTAGCAAAGAAGCCCGCGAAAAATCAATCACCGGACAAGTACGGGCATCTCTAGGTGTCATGGAAATAAGATTGGTCGAAAGAGGAAAATCACGTGGACCGCCCCCCCAGCCGGATTTGGATCCATTTATGACATAATTCTCTCGTAGATTTCGTCGCGCATGGTAACCAAAATCGACCGAATCTCGGCACCCTCGTTAATGACGCCAGCATGGAATGTGAGCCATATAAATCTTTTAAACGGAACGCTGTACCCAATTTAAAGAATTCGTATCCGACGATGTATCCGCATAAATCCAAAAAAAAAAAAATTTTGCGCACTGAAAATTATGACGATGGGGCCCAACTTCCCCCTCCCCATATGATCCCTGGTGTGCGCTAAGTGACCGGGAAACGCAATCGGACGGCCGATATCGGATTTGCGGAATTAGTGTTCGTGGGGGGGTGGGCCCCATCCTTATGGTTCCTTTGCCTCCATTATTGGGGGCAAGAGGCCGGATCAGTTTGAGCTACAGAGAGAGAGAGAGAGAGAGAGTAATGAGGGCCGTCGGATGGGGAGGGCGGGATCTATGATGGGGGTGAATACTGAAATTACGGACCGTGTAATCATTTTTCCAGACATTTTACATTTTAACCATTTTTTACCGTCGATATGGATAGTTTTATTTTTTCTTAGCAAATAATTAAGCACGTATTTTAGGCGAGACGGACGTGGAATGCGTAAAAAAATAAAAATAAAAAAGTCGCAAGTAACATTCGATATTAATCGGGTAGAATTAACTGGGAAACGTTTTGACAATGCCCTTTTTTTTTTTAATTCTCGAAATGCTGAAAAAAAGGGGCCTTTTTTTTATTTACTTATTTACGATTCCCAAGAGGAGGTGGGTGTTTGGGCAAAGGTTGTCACTTTCCTAACCTTTCGTTACGATTTGACCAAAAAAAAAAAAAACTTTCGTTGCGAAATTTCTTCAAGCACGGGATTCACTCCGGCGCGTGGGACTCACCGCACGGTAACCAAAGCCGGAGTTACTTTATGCGAACTAAATAGGAAAAAGAGCTGGAGTAATCTCGGATTTAGTGTACGTTATTCAGAGCGGTTTATAGCTTCGATTTACTTTTTTTTTTTCGTATTTTTTTACTGATTGGAATTGAATTGTTTTTTTGGGTAAAAGATTGGTATTGAATGTAGAGATGTTAATTTGGAACTTTCCAAATTTAAAATATATATATATTGTGCCGAAGACCCATATTTCGAACAACTAAAACGAGAGCTTAATTTTAGGTTGCTCCGCATATAAATTTTTTTTTCGATAAAATCTTTTATATGACCGATTTTTTTTGTTTTTTTTTTTATTTCTTAAAAATCTGTGAAAAAAATCATAATCTATCTCTCATTTCACAAATGAATGCTCCCCAATGCTAGAGCGATTCTGTTTATTTATGCACGTAAGTAAAATAACAAAAACAAATCAAAATACAACAATTGCTCATGTAAAACCTATAATGTTGCACGTAACTTACTAACTGTAGAAACGTTTTGATTATCAAAAACATCTCAAATTTCGTTTTGAATATCAACGACAAATAAAAATAAATAAATATGTCACCGATTCTATTGGCCCATTCGGGAACCGAATCGGTCTATCCAGTCGGGTTCTAGAAATTGGGAATCAGCTCCGAGTCGGGAACCTTCTTCACCCCTCCTAGTCCGGAGGGGACGAGGGAAAGTGGAGCTCACGCGGGTGCGAAAGGCGAGTGTGAGAGAGAGAGAGAGCACGAGCTTTTTTCCCGCAGCGAGAGAAGGGGGGGATTAAAAGAAGCGAGTCTTAACCGGTGGCTCACGTGGACCGGCATGCCGTGCTGGAGGACACGTGCTCCCCCACGAGCCACCACCCCCACCACACACCCCACACAGCGCACGTGGGGCCCACGATCACGTTTCCCCCCGTCGCCTGTCGCCCTGTCCCCTTCGTGACCCGACACTCCCGCTTCATCGCAATCATTTGACGGAACGCGCCCCGGCCTCCCCAGCTCTCTGTCCCCGCGCGTGGCGAACACGCTCCCCGTACGATGCGGCATGAGCCGTCGGATGCCGGCGCGTGGGGGGGGATCCGCCCGGGGGATGGAATTACAGTCGCTATCTCTTTCTCTCTCTTTCACTTCACCTCCGGGTTTTCATGGGAATTCCGTCCCATGTTTTTGCGGCCCCCACCCGGCCGCTCAGTTACGTTTTTGCCCCCGCATCGAAGGGGGAATTACAGTTGCCCGCCCCCCGATCGCGACAATAATGATGAGGTGCTCATGTAGTGGCCAATCCTCGGTCGGTCCATTTCGAAACAATGACTTTTGTGCACCCTCCTCCTTTGTGTTTTTTACACCATCCGCAATCATGCGCCGTAGATAATGGGGGGTCTCTTTTAGCAATGAATAATTAAGTGATTTTTTCCAGCCTATTTTTACTTAATTTCAAACACCCCCCAAAATCGACCCCAAAAAAAAAAACACACACACACCCCATAAAAAGGAAATTGAACATGGGAATTCTGCCCGCACCTCGATTTTTTTAAGATAATCAACATCAAGGGGTTTGCTATTGTTCTATATAAAGGTGAGGACATTGGTGAAGATGTAGATTCGCTTGAAAAATCTAGTGGCTATTTTTGGATGTGTAAGTAGATTTAGGACTAAAATAAAAGTTGTGGGTTTTCTAAGACAAAAAATAAGTGCAAGGCGCAATTAAGATTGGAACTAAAGTTAAGAGTTTCTTAGAAAATTAGGCCGTACATTTATACGAAAGTATAAATATTTTTACTAAAGAGATGCGGATTTCTCATCCAGATATCCTATTGTATACCCTTCTTCTTCTTATACAGATCCCTCGTTGTTTATTTTTACCAAATCATCTTGTATTTAGGTTAAAATCACGAGATTAGAGATTTGCTTCCCTTGAAGACCATTCACATAGCAGGATTTCTGGCCAAAGAGAGGGGGGGGGGGGGGGTCAAAATAGACACAAAAGCTGCTCGTCAGTCAATCTTAAAAAAAAAAATCAATCTTGCGAAAAATATCTCTGCAAAAAAGGAATTAAAAAAAAAAAAAAAAAACAGATCATCATCATTGACTGACCAGCTTCATTGGAATCACACCAATTAGTTGGAATTCGCGGCAACGAGGGACAACCAATTATTAAAAATTACGCGAGTTTCCTACATTTCTCTATGCAACAGCAGCCGCCCTATCATCGCCCTTTTTTGTCTTCCTAGATTCTACACCTAGCCCTATGAAAGAATTATTATTAGAACAAAAGCAGCTGCTAATGATAATTATTCGCGGGACTCGATAAACTAATTTTAACCCCCACCCCACCATGATTAAAGGGCGCCCCTTTGGTCTTCAATTATTAGCGCGATTGAGCCTCCTTTGCTTCTTTTTTTTCTCTTGCGGCCCCCAGAGGGGAAAGGGAAAGAGGCAAAAAAAAAAAGAAAAGAGAGGAAGAAAGCAAGCGAAATTTTCTTGCACTTTCCTGAAAATGGGGAACTGCTCCGAGAAAAAAAGTGTACTCGACTCGAATTATTCTTTAAGTAATTGCAACTCGATCGAGATTATCAATAACTAATTTGAGATGGATTGTACCCGTTCACCCACCGTTCTAATTTTACAGTAATGCATCAACATGTCTTCGAATCGATATCGAATTTTACTGCGATTTGGAATGAGAGTGTGCAGGAGAACTCTTGAGACAAATCAGCTTGACGTTGGGGGGTTTTGCAATTGAGATTTTTCGTGTTTCATGTGTCGAGCTACGTTATTCGCTCGTGATGATTTCGAAAGGATTGCATGACCATTCGTGTCGAAGAGCCAAATAAAGAAAGGACGTCGTCTTCGTGGCACTATCTCTTTCTCCCCACGCGCAATCAAATGCGTTGGATAGAGTCGACTTTATTGAGTAAGACCCTTTTGTCCACTCGCCGGTTGTAATTACCAATCCCATGCGATGGTAAGGATCGCGTTGTCTCGAACCGTAATTAAAAAATTAAAATAAAAAAGAAAATCCTTACCTTTCTTGGAAAGAGGGTCTTAACAAATTAGCATGGCAAAGATGGGGGGGAAATCGAAACGAAGACGCAAAAGAAGAAGGGGGGGGCCTAATAAAGAGTGGGATTAGAATAAGATTACACACTACTAATTACGATTAGGACGACACGGTTGGGATTAGATTAGGTTCTATTAGCGAAAAGAAGGCGGAGGGACATGATGTCGGGTGATG